CATCTGATCTCATTCTTCTTATGAAACCAAGGTCCGACTCAACAGCCGGTCGCCGTCCTCTGCCCAGAAAACCCGGCCAGGGTCCCGTTTTTTTAAAATTTTTATTTTATTTATTTATTTTTTTCCCCCAAAGCGCTCCACGCTCGTCGTTTCTGACGAAGCCCCCTCGCCGTTCCAGCATTAGTCATGTTTGGAGCGCGAGCCGCCTCATACGGCTTTCATTACTTGCTGCGTTCGGATGAAAAGATGTTTTCTGGGAGCGCGGCCTTCAGTGTTTGCTCTCCTCGCTGGAGACAGACGGAGCGCAGAGGTGCCGGGCCAGGTCCGAAAGCCAACTGTGCGTGTGTTTGTCTGTGTGTGCCAGGGAGTGCCGTATCTCCACTCTGCTGTGGTGCGACTGCAAACTGAAGGCGTTCATTTGCCCATCAGCGTCTTTTGTTCGCGGCACCGACGTTACAAATGACAGAGAGAATCTCTTTTTGGAAAAAAGAGACAAACAAAAAGGGAGGGACTTGGAAACGGACAGCGAGCCTGATGGACCCGACGCCTTCTCACGTCACCTTAATCCATCAAACACATCTTATCTGCTTTCCTCATATCCTGAGCTTCAAAAGGAGCTGACACTATCAGATGTGGGGTTACATAATGAAGTAGAGACCAGGGAAAAAAAAGGCAGAGATTATTATTTTCACACAAGGCTTTAGAGTGTATAGTGGGGTAAAAGAAGAGGCAGCAGTTACCGTACACTCTGGTTCTGTCGTCATGTCAGGGGAACAACAGAGAAATCCCTCGAGTCTTTCTTCTTCATCCTTGTTGATTGTGTTGCACAGRGCCGAGATGTTTTTAAACAGAAAACAGATCTGGGCTCCAGTGTTCTGTGACGGCTCTGTAACTCCGGGCCAGCAGAATTCACAGAGAGTTTTCCCCCCCACCGCCGAGGGAGCGAAAACCAACTGYTAGCCGGGCACTTTTAACGAAAAACTTCCTGATGCTTTGTTGTCRTTTTGAGTAACGTGCCCCATAAAGTTTGAGCTTTCGTCTCATGACGGGACAGCGCCAGTGACAGCGTGGGGTTTTAATACGCGTTGAGGCGTGCAGGGGCCCCTGACAGCCACAGCTTGGCCCGCTGTCAGAGCCTGCAGCKTACCCTCAGCAGACACGGCGGAAAGAGAAAAAGGAAGAAAGCGGGGTGTTCGGAGTGTCAGGAGCCGCTGGTAAACGGATTTACTCCGGCTCCGTCGTGCTTCCAAACAAATCCGTGGAAAGAYGCGAGCAGTTCTGCACCTTGACCTCCGTTGACCGCTTTCTCCGAAGTTTCCACCCCTTTACAGACCCCAGCCGCCGAGCAAGAGCTTGATTGGAGGCCAGGCTTGCTTTGAAATTCACCGTAATTATCCAGTTTAATGAATAACACCAGAAAAGGATGCACAAAAGGCTGAGCGTGTGAATTATGTCTAATTCGGAAACAAAAGTCGTCTCTTAGGTTTGCAAATAATAAAACCCTTTGTAGCAGAAAGTGCTTCGTGTGAGCAGATTTACTCCTTAATTTCACTGTACACTGATTTTTAATTATTTGTGCAATTAAGATTAATAAATAAATTTTTGGTGACTCTTTAGCAGCTCAACTAATTTTACTTTTTCGGCTAAAATGACAAAATGTGGGTTTTATCRCTTGTTTAATAAAATGCAAGAATAAGCATAAGCAGTAAACAACCTTAAAAAAATTTAATAGGATATTTGACCTGATTGAGAAATTGCTGCTTTTAATTTGACTTGTTTTTTTGTTCTCTCTCTCTCTCTCTCTCTCTCTCCCTCTCTCTCTCGTTTCTCAAATTAGCGAGCACATGTTTTCCTCCTGGTGTCTCCTCTGTTTTCAGCCTGCTCTCCAACACTGTTAAATCTCTCTCGGTGTTCGCCGGGATCGGTCCTCTCCTTGCTCTGTACAGACGC